ACTGCCTATGCTGTCTCGTCAGTGAAGATCAGATGGCCAGAATAATGAGAATGAGCAAGAAGGAACTCTGGTTGGCTGGCTGGCTGGCTGTCTGGTGACGAACCAACAAAGAATCTATCGCTGAACAAATATGCAGTGGAAGGAGGTGTAGATGGACTGGATTGGGCATGCAGTGAGAAGACCATTCGGGCACAACATACACCAGGTAGTCGAGCGGAACCCAGATGGGAAACCACGAATGGGCGTCCTAGTGTGACATGGAGGAGATCGTATTAGGAAGAATGAGAGCTTGTGGGCTGTCGTGGAGCCAGGTTCAAAAGATTACAGAGAATAGAGTGTACTACTGAAGCCCTATGTTCCACTAGGAACCCAAGAGACAAATAATAGTAATGAGATGGTCTGAAAGAAAACATCAGTTTAGAATCTTGTATCGAAGCATAGAAAATCAAGTTGCCAAAATTCATATTCAATAGACACAGAGGTAGTGAACAGAAAAAGAATGATATTTTTATATGCAGAAGTTGTAGGTGAGAACGAAGGAGGTAGGAAGGTGGATAAAATTATCCGATTTTCGAATACGATAAATACTGGAGATAACTGCATCAATGTAACTAAGATTTCCTCTATTACTTCTAGGGTCTCAGCAAAACATTTTTCACTTTTTTGTACTGTTAAAATCAACAGATAAAAATTTTTTCTAGACTAGTGACCACCGTTAGTCACTTTCTGACTTAATCCTACTTTGATTAATATTGTTGGATGATAAATTTCATACTTAATAATAATAATGCCAGTAATAATATTGCTTTATCCTGAAGGTTTCCCAGCAAACTACAGACATTCATCAACAGCTGACTCCGCTGGCTGGTCACTGAAGATCAAATGGCCAGAATAATGAGAATAAGCAACAAGGAACTCTGGCCTGACTGGCAACGAACCAACGAAGAACCTGTTGCTGAACAAATATGCACTGGAAGGAAGTGGAGATGGATTGTACCCGGCATACACTGAGAAAGCCGACTAGGGACAACATGTGCCAGGCCCTCGAGTGAAACCAAGATGGGAAACGGCGAGTTGGATGTCTGAGCCGAGGGTGACATGAAGGAGATCATGTGAGGAAGAAATGAAAGCTTGCGGTCAGTCGTGGCGCAGAAAAATAGTCATAATAATAATAGTAATAGTAATTCTGAAAGGTATTTCGAGGATATTCTATAGAATTTTCAACATGTCATACGTAGCATCAATTGGACAAAGACAGTGTACATGTATATAATATAGGAAAACGAATTGAGTATAAATTACATATGAAAAAGATAAGAATATTCACTCCATCTTCAACTTTCTTCAAAATATGCAGTTAATTTTTATGGTAGACAATTACATTAGTAATTAGCTTCATAATACATAAACAGTAACATACTGTGTACTCATCAATTAGTTTGCTTTCACTACCAGAAGTTGATTAGTGTAACTTCATTTCGAATACTTTCTTCATCACATAGCAGACGAGCTAAATTCACACTGTATTGTAGAGTTTTTATATTTTGTAGTGTGTGCATAGAGTCTTATGTACACTTGCTCCTTGTCTTTTCAGATGGACCAACAAGCAGACAGCTTTAAGTGAAGAGGATACTGGTCATCTGATAAAATAACTCATGAGTTAAGATGTTTGTCCACAACTGTTTCAACTAGAAGGTTTGGAGGTAAACCACTAGTTCTACACAATATAGCATAGTCGTTTCTTCAGCAACCCCCACCAAAAGAATAAAGGAGAACAATAGAAGAGAATAGGTAAGATGCAGGAGTTCATAAAATACAATAGGAGAGGCTGAGTTACGCCTAATATAGAAAGTTAGGCGGAAAATTCTTTTGAAAGTTAGTAGGAGATGGGAGGGTTCGAAGAAAAATACACACCGAGATAAATGACACTTAGAACATTCTCTCTCTAATGCACAACTATCAATAGAACAAGAATTATGAGAACTAAGCAGTTTACACAGGTTATGCTCACATCTAACACTAAAGTTTATAGTCTGACATTTTGAACTAAACCATTTACAGTAGACCATCATCTAACAGTAAATAGGAAATCATTCAGTTGGTAACAATCTACTGAAAAGTAGGTAGGTATAACAATTGTTACTTCATCAGCATGTTTGATAAAATTGAAACTAACTGAAGATGGCAAGTCATTTGGAAAGAAAGAGAAAAGACAAGGGGGAAGGACAGCTCTTTGGAGAATACCAATCACAGTAAGCAATGAGGTGGAGCGCTTCCCTATATGGAAAGTATGCTGTTTCCTTTCAAAGAACTAGAAGTACAGTCAGCTGATAATCCAGGACTCAGTATTTGTCCTGGACAGCTTGTTGAGCAAAAGAGGTCTTGGGACAGAATCAAATGCTGAAGTATGGTCTGAAGAGGCACACTTGACATACTTGGCATTTTTATTGAGACTATAAGCAATATTGTGACATAAGAGAGTAGTGGCATCCAAAGTGCAAACTCATTAGGGTCTCCGAAAGCCTTGAGTGAGGGTTCGAGCACAGATATCATTAGCCTCTTCATTATTTTCAAGAACGAAAAGGTAACTGCTGTTATATACTATGATAACTTTGTTTTTGCTTGGATTCAGTTTTAGTGTTGACCTTTCGTGTGATTCGTCTCGTATATACATGTCCAATCTTGTATGCTCAAACCACCCAAACACTGACAACAGAACATAGGTCTGATGCTTATTGTCCGTATGCTTTAAACGATATGATGAATCTGTATATAGAACTGAATAACCTGAGCACAATTTGCCATAGTCTATTAAAAGGTAGCAACCAATATCGAACACAAAGGTTGTGATAATGGTCTCGAATCATAAGTTGTAGATAAATGAACTGAGCTATACAATTAAATGCTACCAATTAAATCATAGATAAAGTGATTTTTAAAGCAAGTAAAATAATGTGAGCCCCAATGACACTAATCTAAGATTTATATTTTCCACTTTTCAACTGATATAACAAGCCCACAGTGACATTCATTTGTGCTAAAGGAGAGGTATAAACATATTTTATGAAGGCAAAAACAATCCTAAACCAGTTGGCAAGTGTGTAAAAACAGATGAAGAAATATATGAATGAAAAGCCTAAGAAAGTACTAAAACAATCCATCGGTTCAAGGTAAAAACCTCTCACATCAACATAATGAGGAGACATCCAATAATGACAAGTGTATCTACCAGTTCATCTGTTGTTGTAAAGCAAGGTACATAAGCCATAGCCAGTGAATACTTTCCACACTTATACGAGAACCTGTTACTGTTTAGTTGTATAAAGGTGAAAGAAAGTCTGTTAGAAGTTCTATTCTAGAACATTTGATTGATTTCTATCACATAACAAACTCAAACGATGACTTTAAAATTGTCTGTCAAATTCGTTAAAACTTCCCACGTTTTATTTGTCTTCAAATCATTAAAATACCGGAGGCTTTAGCTATTCATGAACTAAAACCTGATCAGTGTGTAAATACAGACGTATGTACAGTCATTATTTTCACCATGGCTATGACATTTTCTTTGTCAAACTCTCAAAGAAGGGAGACCTAAGTCTTTGCAAGAAATGGCGCAGAACCATGCTCCTGAATAGGCTGGCTTCAGGAAAAACAAATCATGCACGGATCAAATTGCAACGCTACGCATCATCATAGAACAGAGAGTAGAACGGCAGTCAACTGGATCTTTACATCAACTTCATCGACTTTGAAAAGGCCTTTGACAGCCAGCTGCTTCAACACTACGGTTTTAGTACCACAAACCTTTACCAACCTCGTTCAACAGCAGCTGTATGACATATGACGCTACATGCGAAGTGGTTCACAATATAAAGCTCAGTGATGCGTTTGAAGTGAAGACAGGGGACAGGAGTAAGACAAGGTTGCCACCTACTATCACCAATGATCTTCCTGATTGTGGTCAACTGGACTGGACTGAATCATGCAACAAGCTATGAGGAGCAAGAAGAGGGCTATATGCTGACTGGACCGATGAAAAGAACGCAGAAGAAGATTTGGATTTCGCCAATAACGATCTATGTCTAATGTCATGTCGCACAAACTCGAAGATCTACAGGCAAGAACTGGCAACCAACCAAGAACCCATCGCCCAACATATATACAGAAGAAAGTGGAAATTAATTGGATTGGGCATTCACTAAGAAGACGGTTTGGGGACATCACGTTCCAGGCGGGGCCCTCGAGTAGAAGCCAAATAGGAAACGATGAGTTGGGCGTCACAACTGAGGATGACATAGAAAAGAATATGTGAGGAAGAAATGAAAGCTTATGAACAAGCAGTCGTGAAGCCAGGTTGGAAAGACTGCAGAGAACAGAGTGAAATGGTGACGTGTTATTGAAGCCCTATGTTCCACTAGGAACTCAAGGGAAAAAGTAATAATATTAAACTAACTAACTGACTGAAGAAATCAACGTTCAACTTCATACAGTCATGCATCTACTCAAGTTGTCACAATTCATAAAAGTACACAAAGAACAGATGGATAGAAAAGGACTGATATCAATGTATTCAAAGTAGTGTAAATATTTAGATGCCAAGCAGTGAATATATCTGTTCCAGTATGACCGATTTTCATCCATAACAAGTCAATGTGTAACTAAACTGTTCGAAATATGTTGTACAAATACATCACACTACTTAGATGACCTCCATCTTCTTACAACATTATTTAAGTTCATCAAAGAGACTAATTGTTATACGTGTGAGGAAGAAATGAGAGATTGTAGGCTGTCGTGGAGCCAGGTTCAAAAGATTACAGCGAATAGAGTGCACTGGAGACGTGCTACTCAAGCCCTATGTTCCACTAAGAACTCAAGGGATAAATAATTTATAATAAACTCCTACCTAACATTTTTTTAGCGGTTAAATGAACTTGTTAATCCCAGGTGTAAAATTATATTTTAGAAGATTAAAGTGGATTTTTTTTTCAAATCTTTACCTGATTAATCATCTCACTAACAGGATGTATATCAATAAAAATTAAATCTTCTGCCTTCAATATAGAACTATCAGCTTTGACATAAGAATCATTGAAAGTATTCAACTGAAGCATTTCTAAATATGGTATTAATGATTTCGGATTAATATTTTGTACAGTTTTCGTTCGTATAATAGAATGTATATTATTTAATCGACGTTTACAACGTAAAGGACAATCTTTTATACCATCACCTAGAACTGATGGTTGTATTCGTTCTAAAATCTGAGGTAAGAAAGAAAAAAGAGAATTTAGTATCATACTAAGAGTAAAACAATAAGAAAAATGTATACTGGCAATTGAACACATTGAACGGAATATTTCATGATTACCTTTATATATTTTGTACTTTTTTATGCTTAAAACTATGAAGTTTTTGATAATTCGTTTGATTGTGGCTAGCAGAGGAATCCAGAACTCGTGTTTCGTTCTATTTGGGACTCGTCAGCTGGGTGTACCTGCACCCCAGTGTGGAGTGATGTTGTTCCCACTGATGCTCGAACCTCATATGTATTGCTTCAAAAGCTTAGGCGTTATCCACTAGGTCACTGAGGCACGACAACCACCTCTTGTATAACGGGTATTAGTTATAACTATTTGTTGATATACTTGTAATTCTCCGTTGTTATACTGGATCAAATTGTTCGACCTGTGTTGGCATGTTGGCTCCTTTGTGGATGTCTCGATATTGCGTGACTATTTATTATGGTAACTTACTTGGTTGTAAATTGCAGAGGATTCAAGGACTTGCGTTTCGTTCTATTTGGAACTTGTCACGTATAGGCAAAATTGAGGTATCCACATAAGAGCCCATATGCTAACGGAGGTTGAACAATTTGGTCCAGCAAAACAAGGGAGAATTACATGTATATAAACAAATAGTTATGAACTTGAACTGTTAATAAAAATTTACAGGGGTTTTTTTATTCATGAAATGGATTATGAAACCATGCACTTCTATGTTATGGTAGATGGTGGTACATAGAGATAAAAGAAACTGATCAATGCTGAAACATAAGACAATAGTCAGAGGGCAATGATATTTTTCAATAATGTTTGATAATTCAAGCAAGCAGCCGAATGCAGGTATACCCAGTAAGTTATAAATAACCCTTACTGTTTGGGTACTACTTATACTACTCGACTACAATGACCTTGGTAAATGAAGCAGGAGTCGAACTTACAACACACTGGTTTTATGGTTAAGTAAGTCACCCAGACAGTCACTACAGATAGAAAGCAGGCTAAATGTAAATCATCATTTTAAGTCATCAGCTGCTGAGGTTGAAGACTTTGTATTCCAGTTTCAGTTTCATGTCACTGTGTGGTCAGGAAAAGCTTATTGGTCAATTTATTCCACACCTGACCAATCAAAATAAGGTATTCAGCTATTGACTTGGTGGTTTTATATGTTGATGAAAGCTGTATTCTATAAATGATGAAATTTTGTCGAATAAAGCGTTCCTTGGAGTGAGTAGATGGGTATATGCTGGCTGGACCAGTGAAAAGATCCCAGAAGGAGATTTGGATTTCACCATTGATCATTTGTGTCCGATGTCTTACCACACAAACTCGAAGATCTAAAGGCGAAAATCAACAAGTTGAAAGTAGAAACGAGGCAGTGAAGGTGGGACTTCATTCAGGTGAACGTAGAGGAGACATAGGTGATGAAGAAACCCTACCAACAAGAATAACAACAACAACCATCAACGAGAGAAATGTAAGGGAAGTAGTCTCTCACCTACCGCTCTACCCAGGCAACATCTACTCAACTACAGACGGCAGCACAGATGAGGATATCAAAGCCAACTGTGGTCAACTGGATTGAACTTGACTGGATCACGCAACAAAAGCTGTGATGAGCGACAGGAGAGGCATACCCTGTTTGAGCGACGAAAAGACCCCAGAAGAATATTTGGATTTCATCAATGATGATTTATACCTGTCTCATTTCGCACAAACTCGAAGATCTACAGGCGAAAACCAACAAGTTGGCGGAAGAAGCAGAGCAGCAAAGAAGGGACTTCCTTCAGGTGAACGTAGAGGAGACAGAGGTGATGAAGATACCCTACCAACAAGAATAACAACAACAACAACACGCACTAACCACCATCAACCGGAGAAATCTAGATGAAGTTGTCTCTTTCACCTACCGCTCTACCCAGGCAACATCTACTCAACTACAGACGGCAGCGATGGCAGCACAGATGAGGATATCAAAGCCAACCAGGATCGGAAAGACAGCAAGACAGGTCTTCATTAATCTCAAATAATCAATGAGGAAATCTACTGCGCTGCAATGCACTGCACTCAGGATAAAGCGTGAACAACATCCAAATTTTCAACACTAATTCAGTCAAGTCAGTCAGTGCTTGCTTCTATGTGATGCTTGAGAGACTTGGTGCATACGAAAAGCATTTCCAACAAACTGCAGACATTCATCAACATCACATCAACAGCTGCCGCCTATGCTCACTCCATAATGACACTGGAGATCAGATAAGTAGAATAGTAAGAATAAGCAAGAAGGAACTCTGGCTGACTGGCTGGTTGGCTGGCAACCAACAAACCAAGAATCCATCGCTTAACATATATGCAGTAGAAGAAATTGGAGATGAATTGGATTGGATATACGCTGAGAAGACGGTTTTGGGGAGACGACGCGCCATGCCAGCCACGCCAGGGCAGGCCATCGAGTGGAAGTTGAAGGGGAAACGACGAGTTGGGCCTTCCAGCCGAGGGTGAAATGGAGGAGATGGTGTGAGAAAGAAATGAAGGCTTGTAGGCAGTTGTGGGGTCAGGTTGAAAAGACTGGAGAGAAGAGAGTGAAATGGTGACGTGTTACTGAAGTCGTATGTTCCACTAGGAACCTAAGGGACAAATAGTAATAACGACAGTAACAATAATAATAATGACAATCATACACAGCTTCCACTATGATATAAAACCACTAGGTCAGTAGTTGGATACATATTTTGACTGGTCAGATTTAGGATACAATTGTACAATGAGGTCTTTCTTGAGCACATAGTAACATGAAACAAAGTTGCGATTCAAGTCTTCTGCCTTATTGCTTTATGACTTGAAATGCTAATCTCAATTTAGACCGCTTCTTATCACTCCCGTTGGGATAGAACATTTTATCAATTGAATGATTGATAACCAGTACAATGACAGATGATAATTGAATCTAAAAAGCGGCAAAACATTTTTCTTCGTCTGAAAACATAATATTGGACATTGTAGAAGTGATTAACTTCATGAATCTTTTTGGTTAGTAGTTCATAGTCTTGATTAGCAGCCTACTGGTTATGATTAAGGTTATATAATCGAGAAATCTAAACAAATATTCTGTGTCTTTGTTATTATTTGTTTTCTAATATCTAATCATTACACCTTGTACATTAAACTTCCATAAATACCAAAGTAAGAATATGCGACTGTTTACTGTTCAGAAGTTGGTTTATTAAAGTTCAGAAAAACATAATACTATACTGTAAGGAGATACAACTTGAATGACACACAATTCGTAGATGGATAGGATATTTTAAAGGCTTAATAACTAAATTTACACTATAGATAATAAGCTTATCTGTCTAGATGAAGTTTATCAGCAGATTTTGTATTTACCTACAGAAAATCAAGAATCTAGATCACTTGGTCATCTAATAGAACTTAATTAGTAAATTTGTTCATCGTGACTATCCGAAGCTAATAGTGCTAAGGTTTTGGTCAAACAGGATTTGAACGCTCTTAGAGGCAATGGAGGAAATGATTAGCTGTGCTCATACTTGTAATCTTGAGTCTCCTTTACTTATTTATTACATCTTATGCTCACCTATGGAGTGATGTAGAATGATATATAAATGATGATTTGTGGCCTCCAGTGGAATCCATGATGCGCTTTTCGTTCTAATTAAGACTCATCAGTTGAATGCATTTGCCTCCCAGTGAACGGTGTTGTTTCAACTCAAACTTGAACTATAGACAGTTCGCTTTAAACACCAGACGATTATCCACTCAATGATGGGATAATATAAACGACAACATTAAAACTGTATTCGTTGTACGAGAAGCGGCTGTCATGACTCGATGGTTTGAAATGTTCAAATAAAGCATGCATTCTGAAGAAAACTTATATTTTTAACTAGATTCAGTCAAATTCATTCTCAAACCAATCTTATAGAAAAAAATTGTGAGGATATATGTTCATTTGAAGTGCTGCATGATTCTCCTAACCATTTTTTTAATAAAGTTTTAAATCTATACTACTTACGAGTAGGTAAATACATAATAACAAAATATTTGTGCTTCTCAACTGATAACTTACTTGATGGTCTGAAAGATTAGCCACTTTTTCTACACATTTTAAAGTATTCCAAACCTGTATCATTTTTGTTGTGCTATCCATTATATCATGACACCAAGTTTGACCAATATCACGCATTGAATATGGTATAGAATAAGATTCTGTGAAACATTTACATGTTTCATAGGTCAACTTTTGTCGTAAAATAGCAATACACGCCTGACGCGTATATTTAAAACGTGTAAGATCTTTATTCCAAGATATAAAAATATGGAGAGGGAGGAGTAATGCAAAAATTAATAAGAAATCAGCCGAAAGTAGTAACTAGGTGATAAAATAATAGTAATAGAACGGTGGTTCAGTTACACAGGAACACATATTTAGGTATGAACTCAATTATTAACAGACTATGAGAATATAAACATCCAGACCATAGTTGCTACGAATGTCCTGGAAGATGTTCAGCACCGAGTTTGATTGAATCATTGTAAGAATTTCTTGGTTGTGTTGTGTTCTCTCAGCTGGGTTGTTTAATCATGGAGCTTTCATCGTCTTTCTAGACAGCAACATCATAAGCACTAACTTCAATACGAAGTCAGCTGTTATTATCTCTCCGTGAGTGATTTAGTAGTTTGCCTTGATGAAGGGGTCTGTGATTGGTGGTTTCCTTTGATTATTGTGTCATTTATTGACTGTATAGATTTCCCTGTTGGCTGTTCCTCTGCTTCACCTCTGACCTTTCTGTCGTTTATCGTTTTTCTTACTGGTTGGTAGATTGGGTCTATGTCTATACATCTCTCTATTGATTGCTGACAGACTGACCTGAATGCCAAGTTTCTAGAAATTCTCTCATATTCTTTGTGTTTCCTCTCTCCGCTAAAAATTTCTACACTGTCGTAACAACCAATCACAAACTACTTCGTCAGGGTAAGCTACTAAATCACTCATGGAGAGATATTGACAGCTTACTCACTTCATACTGAAGTTAGTGCTGATGATGTCGTGTAGAAAGACGATGAACGCTTCAGAATTAAACAACCCAGCTGACAGAACACAATACAACCAAGATTATCCACATGAGCTACAAATACTCTCCACCATTTGAAGTACAATTTCATGCACTCAGCTGTGAATTCCACTTATTGTATGAGGACTTGGAAATTTACCTGAACACAAAGTGAATGGATTGCGAGTCATACACAGTACCCAGTGACTGAATGTCTGGCACCTAATCTGCTGTAATCTTTTATAATACATACACTGATCTCGCTAGTTAGCTTGGGAAATATATAAAAAGATCGACTTGTGACCTTCACCTCAAGTGGGCTCCTCGAACCTGTACAACAGTTTACGCTGATTTTACGGTAGTCTGAGAGAATTTGTCTGCATGGAAGACACCAAGAGGCAAACTTTCTAAGGGTAGGCAGCTGTATGTTTTTCCAATCAACTCAGAAGGAAAACGTAGTTATCCACTGAAAAATGAAATTTATTAAGTTACTATTACAATACAGGGAAGGTACCTGCAGATTCAGAATTGTAGATGGATTGGATTGGGTATACACTGAGAAGGCCGACTGAGGACATCACGCTTCAGATCTCTAGCACGAGTGGAACCCAGATGAGAAGCGGCTAGTTGGGCGTCAGAGTGTGGCCTGGGGGTCGATCGTGCGAGGAGTAAATGATAGCTTGTGGGCTGTCGTGGAGCCAGGTTCAAAAGATTTCAGAGAATAGAGTGTAATGGAGACGTGCTACTGGAGCCCTATGTTCCATTAGGAAGCCAAGGGACAAATAATAATAATCAAGTCATAACACCGCAAAAACACTTTCAATTTACGCAGTAATTGAACATTGAATTTAAATTTTCCATTCCAACAAGTTTTGACGGTAAGACATAGGATAACGTAAACAGTTTGATATATTTGCGAGAAAGTCAAAGCAACTTTATTTTTCAATCAATATTCTAGTAACTACATCAGGTTTATTTCTTGTAAACAATGTTCTTTCTAAGATGGATATTTGCGTAATCAACATGATTTGACGTTCACCATAGGAAAACCATATATTACCCGTTTATTCGATTTATAACTCATGAGTTTACCTATAAAAGTAGTAGCAGCTGTGGTCTAATCAATGTGTCACAGGTTAGAGTCCCATCCCAACTAACAAGTAGTATCATTTACCCGTCACACAGATGTTATGGTTCATTGGCTACTACAAGATTGTATATGAAGCTGCTGAGTTGCAACCGGTTAGGATGCAATACATTCAGTTGACAGTGTACAACACAGCCTTTAGCATAGTCCAGAATAGATTTGTAGATGATATGCATATGACATAGTCCTGTTAGGTGAAGACGCTGACAAGATGCAGAGTCTTCTGAACACTTCGAGTGGGAATTTGAGAATGTTTGGGATGCGATTTTAACCATCCAAATGCAAATTGCTGCCCCAGGACTGGTCTTCAGCGGTGCCCCACCGCGGCTAACAATAGAGAGTGAAGTGGTTGAGTGTGTTGACCACTTCACTTACCTGGGAAGTAGGATCAACCTCGGTGGGTTAGTTGCCGATGAGATTTCTGCACGGATACAAAAGGCTCGATTGGCTTTTGCTAATTTGCGTCACCTATGGCGCCGCCGTGATATTCGTTTATCTATTAAGGGTCGCGTGTACTGCACAGCACTTCGCTCTGTTCTACTGTATGGCTGTGAAACATGGCCATTGAAAGTGGAAGATATGAGAAAGCTGGCTTCAGGTGTTTGACCGTCGTTGCCTTCGTAGTATAGGACGTATTCCGTGGTGTCACCACGTGAGTAATGCAGAAGTTAGGTGTAGAGTTTTGGGGAGAAGAGGTAAGTCAGTCGACGAGGTTGTGAACCTTCATCGACTGAGATGGTTGGGACACGTATTACGTATGCCTAGTCACCGATTGCCTCGTCACACAATGTTGGCTGAGGTGGGTCCAGACTGGAAAAAGGCTCGAGGTGGCCAGACTAAAACATGGCACCAATGTATGAAGTCTCTGACTGTTTGTTTAAGCCATGTAGGACGATGCAGGCTACTAGGTGGTTGGGGTCCACGGGACAAGAGGAACCAGTGGTTGGAGACCCTAGGTGATATGGCTCAGAACCGAAGTCAGTGTTGCAGATGTATACACACATTATCCTCATCTTAACCACACTATACTGAATCTCACCATTTCGTCGCTCCTCTTTTCTTTATTCTCTTATTTTATATTTCTTTTGACTGCATTCACTTATCTTCATCCTTCACCTCACTACCTTTTTACTTGATGTGCTGATATGAGGTGTGGCAACTTGGACCGTTACGCAGTAATGCCTGGTCCTATGTTGATAATGATGATGATGATGAGAATAGATTTCGGCTAGATATTTTAGCTTCAAAGAGAGTTGTTCGTTAAATTTCCCAGAGTCTAGATGAGATCTCACTAGCCAATTTAGTCTACAAAATCTAGTTACCATAAGGAAAAATGTGTTGTTATCAATTTCTTTATGCTCAGCGATGAGTGAAGTCACACTATAAACTTCAGTTTCAGATACGAACATAACCTACATAAACTGCCTTGTTCTCATGATTCCCTTTCTGTTGATGGTTATGTATTGAAGAATGTTACAAGTGGGATTTATCTCGGTGTGTGTTTTCCTTCGGATCTTTCCTGGTCCTCTCATATCTTACTAATTTCCAAAAGAAACATCCACCTGACTTTCTGTATTAGGAAGCTGAGAGTATCTTGTTATTACTCAACCTCTTCTCTTGTGTTTTATAAACTCGTGCATCTTGTTTATTGTCCTCTGTTGTTCTCCTTTATTCTTTCCTGAGTTGTCAAAAAAAGACTATGTTATATTGCTTAGAACTTTGAAGATTATCAGAAGAACTAGTGGTGTACCTCTTAGCCTTTTAACTGTAGCCATCATGAATAAGCGTCTCAACTTATGTGGATATCTGGTAGCATCTTTTTCACTTAGAGTATTTTGCTTGCCGGTCGTCAGACAAGACCAGGAGCAGATTTTATGCACGTACTACAAAATATAAAAGGTTTACAATACCATATTTACATTATCTCCTGTGTAAAAAAGAAAGTGTTGAAATGAACTAACTAGTCAATTTTTCCATTTTTATTCATTCATTAGATTTATCACACACTGTGGAACAGCATTGTTTACTTGGTGACGTTTTGGACATAGTCGTATCAAGATAACTATACAACTTTCAGATATCCTTCATATAGTCCTGATTTACTCGTCCCCTATTATGATATGGGTAGTAAGATTCTCCAGATATCTGGAACAGGCGCTCAGCCATTTCTGTTCATGAATGTATTAGGTATTGGTTGATATGATAAGCAAACATTCGGTGATTATCAATCTCTCCCTCCATCCTATTAGTTTTAAGGATTTTCACCCTGTTACAACCAGCCTATGGTGGGGTTGTGTGTAACTGGATGCATAATTATGGTGGAGCGTTTTTTTTACTAAATTGCTTACCATCTTACTAGGATCTACCAATTTTGACCCAGTTAAGTTTTTGTGCTCAAATAGCTTAATTGACCGTGGTCAACTACTTTGACCTTGAAATCATTCCAAAGGATTTGGTAAACTAAATTATTCCGTTTAATTGAGTCAAAGAGATTTTCTAACCTACAAAGTTTATTTCAGAGTGAGTTTGTAGATTTAAATGTTACTCTACTCCTAGTTAGTCTTATTCAGAATTCTATGTAGTGTTTCTAAGGTACCTTATCTGTATGATAATACTTTAGAGGCTGTGAATTCTCTCTTCACTAAGAACAAAATGTTAGAAATGAACTAACTCATCAACTTCTGCTAGTGAAAGCAAACTGATTCGAGAGATACAGTTGTGGAGTTTATTCTAATGTTCGATATTAGCCATCTGTCAAGAGAGAACTCCAAACATACCTTCTACACTTATTGCTCGTCATCCGCAGGGCATATCTGTAATCATCAAGCAATTGATGCTCATACAGAGATTAGAATATGAATCACCTAGCTTCAGAATTTAGAGGCTGAATCACTAAGCTATCTATGACTGACTAGCTATTTACCAACTAACTCATCTGCATCCATACAGGAGCCCATATGCCAACAGACACTGGTCAATTCAGTCCAATCAACGACCGGGTAATACAAGCAATAACAGTTAAACTTAGCAACAGTTTACAAACAATGATAAAGTAATTCAATCCTTATTTCTGACTGAGTGATAAGGCTAAAATGATATTGAAAGCAAACAATAAAGTTTCCTTTTGAACTAAGAAAAAACATGGATGGGATTTAACCAATGGAATTTATTTCAGGAGTATTCGGCATTAATACCTTTCTGTACATAGGCTGTGAATCTGTTGAACACGTTGATCCCTCTTCCTGTCTTAAAGAGTCAAATCAGGCCTGATAAGTCAGTAGCTGACAGAATTTCAACATAAATACAAAGTATCTTTAAAGGTCACCCTAACCCTGTTGAGATAACAATTTACTTTCCTTTATCCTACGAATACCTATCTTCTCAACCGAAATTCCGAAATCTAATTAATTATTTTATCAGCTGTTAGGGTGGAGTTAATTTAACGACCATCGTAGCAACGACTGAAATAGTCAGTTAGGTTTCTTTATATGGGCTAAAAAGCCAGATTTTCATAAAATGATTGCCTTTAAATTAATTGTAAATACAAAGGAATTGACTGGCTTTTTCTAACTTATGTCCCATGTGGTATTTGAATTTTATTGATTACTTGTCCCTTGGGCTTCAGTAACACGTCACCATTTCACTCTCTTCTCTCCAGTCTTTTCAACCTGACTCCACAACTGCCCATAAGCTTTCATTTCTTTCTCACACCATCTCCTCAATTTCACCCTCAGCAGAGAGACCCAACTCGTCATTCCTCCTTCAACTTCCACTCGATGGCCTGCCCTGGCGTGGTGCGTCGTCTCCCCAAACTATCTTCTCAGTCTACGTACAATCCAAATCATCTCCAATTTCTTCTACTGCATATATGTTCAGCGATGGGTTCTTGGTTTGTTGGTTGCCAGCCAGCCAGAGTTCCTTCTTGCTTATTCTTATTATTCTACCTATCTGATCTCCGGTGTCAGTATGGAGTGAGCATAGGCAGCAGCTGTTGATGTGATGTTGATGAATGTCTGCAGTTTGTTGAGTTTTTAAGTGACCTTAAAGGCTACCCTAGCAACTGTCAAAATAACCAATCAGGTTTAGGTGTTTCATCCTTGAGGGTAGTTTTACAAGGAATGAAGAAACGTAAATGGTAATCCCTGCAGTTGTTAGAATGTCCTTTACATTCGCTTAAGTTTTCTGTGTATTGCTTTCCTCTGTCCTGATATAAAACTATGAGTAATGGCCTTTAAAGATGGCAGACGTAAAAAGATTTTATTTGCTTCACCATCATTTCATCACTAATATCATTCTCCGTATGTTCTTGAAACAACAAAGCCAGTAATGTCGACTTTAGGTGTAGGATCTAAGTTAGAATTAATCAGTCATTTGATAAGTTGTGGAAGTTCTCAAACTGTGTGGGTAGAACTTGTGTTAAAGATGCCCAGTAATCATCAGCCGCGATCAAACCTTTGGGAAGTATTGGAAATAGGTAAGGAAAAAGGTTATGGATGGCATCAGTTTAAGAAGTCTCTGAGTGTTGCTTTAGGCCGTGTAAGCAAATGTAAACTTCCCAGTTGAGATTCACATGAAAATTGACTCAGATTGCTAAAAGACACTATTTGATATGCCCCAGAACCAACTTCACTGGTTTACACCCATCCAGATCCTACCTTCATCTAAATCATATTGTAACTTATCTTACTTCATTTCAAATCCCTTTCATTTTGTTGATGACTTTCTACAACTTTATTAGTTATCGATACAAGTATATAGTGATGGTTGTTCGGTTCGCAACCCCCGTGGGAACATCAACACTTACTGGCTTGCAGACACATTCATCTGAGGAGTCTCAAATAGGACGAAAGGAGTCTTGGATTCAGCTGCTAACTACCAACAATAAATCTTTATTCTATAACTTTATTTATACTGTTTTGAACTTTTTTGTATTTCATCATGTTATATATTTTATATCTCGATGTGGTGATTCGAAGTGGAATAACTTTGACTGTTGTACAGGTATATTATAAAGTTTCGCATTCATACATAATGGATCTATTTCAGAAATTAACAACTTGTGTCCCCAGTCCAGATTACTGACCATCACAGTGATAGTAGTCAACAAATGGATGAATGCAACCAGCGTAATCAATTTAAGCCTATCTTGACAAATACCACAACATATCTGAATATGATTGCCAACCAATTATAATTACATAATTACCGAATTGAGGTGTCAGTAGGGTTCGCTTTGGAAACTCTCCAGACTCGAACAATCGAAATAGCTGTCCAGTGTTTACATCAATTTGATATGTCTGCTGAGATTAACAGATCAGCCTGAATGGTTACTAACTACTCAATTCGTTCAGTAGTAGTATATTTCGTAAGTGATTGTTTAATTGAAGGATTAAAAAATACTGAATAAAATACTTCTAGAAAAGGCCAGTTGTTCTTTCTAGTTATTCTACTTTCTTAGAACCAATAGCCTGAATGTTTCAGTATTCATCTTTATAACAACCAAGTGAATACATCTGAGCCACTGATTTTCAGAGATGTCAGCAATAATCCTCAACCACTGATTCCTTTTGTCTCTGAAACCCCAACCGGACAGTCTATATCCTCCCCCCACACTACTCAGACCAGCAGTAAGAGACTCCATCGACTGGTACTAGGTCTTGGTTTGGCCACCGTGAACCCTTTTCCAACCTAATCCAAATTCAGCCAGTATGAAATGTTGAGGTAGGCGGTGACTGGATATACGCAGTACATGTCTAAGACATCTCAGTTGACTAAGGTTCACGACCTCATCAATCTACTTGCCTGTCTTGTTTAGTAATCTTCACCGGACTTCAACCATGACCACACGGGAATTCCACCAAACGTTCAAATCTTGTCTTACTGGTGTTGGGATTGCTATTTTCATTTCTTCATCCCCTTTGTCTCATTGACTCTTCCCTCAGAGTGTTGTCAGTGAACAGCAGTAACTTAAACTTCGAAACACGATTCCTTAAAATTTCACACGGTTCACGTTCATTCATTTATTTATCTATCTTTTTGTTCACTGATTTGTAAAGCGTATTACCCAACCAGAATTTGATCGCAGTTCAATAAGCAATTCTATACTCCTAAAACGGTAGTATTAAATTATGAGTTTGACTATCTAAGATAGGCGTGGTTTGACAGACTTGTACGGCTACCAGGAGATGATTGAAGGTGGAGTGAAATTCCGGGTCTTGGAAGGACTCGAACCACTAGCCTCTGGGTTTCTGGTCTGCTACTCTACCAAATGGGCTATGAGACTCATCTGCTGACCAGATCTTAGTTCTGCTTCAATAAGCCAGAGGTCTCCCTGACTGTCATGTGAGTTTGTGACGCTTTATGATTGCCTGATTGTATTCAAGATAGTGTTCAATAAAAAAGAACTAAATGATAAATGTTAAGACTGCAGCAGATTAAGTTCACAACTCCTGTTAAAAAAAATTGGGATTGAAGCTGAACTAACCTTCTCCAGGATGACTATTACTTCGTGACAGTTTATCAAATTTAACTAATTCAATAGATGGAGCTTTCCCTTCATCAACACAAACACGTCCAACTAGGTTGACAGCTTCATGATAAGTTTGCTCCAATGAAATTCTCATTGTATCACCAAAACGAATCGACAACCCATTTGGTAATGACTAGACAATGAAATTAAGACATGACTAATGGTTAGTGAGCTGCCAGTAATATTAGTAATAATAATAATAACTGAAACCTTATCTGCGATAAGATGTGGATACAGAATTCGCCTCCCACAAATTGTGTTAGGGAGGACAGAATGACAGCTAACTGGTCAGTGTTTTCTCTGTACAATGTGGACTAAATATTCCTTCTTAACCTTGACCAAAGTCAGCGTCATTCGTATTTTATTGGTCCATTACCTAACCTTGTATTAAGTTTGTGTTACTGACAGTTGATTGGTCCATTATTAACCAATGTCTTAGAAGACTGTTTTTCCATAGTAAACTTGGCCCACTAAAATAAATATATAAGCAACTAAATTTAAAAAAATGGTGAAAACATGGTAGAGTAAATATAAATAAGAGAAGGGTTATGTGATATGAATGAGACAACAAGTTAATTGGAATAAACTGAAAATGTTTTGTTAAAAGTTGAAATTATTGGGAAGATTAAATGAAGTAACACCGGGAACTAATAAATGTAAAAATTAAGATGATAATGACGATATAGGCGTACAAAGATTAATCTAACGCGAGGAAGTAATAAACCAAGACCAAATTAACTTAAAGTCAGGAAGAGACAAAGACTATACATACTTCTTTTACACACAGAAGTCAGACTTCAGCTCATAGATAGTCAAGGTCTTTGATGTTTTTAGAAGTTGAAGATAAAAGGAAAAGTGAGATGTTATAGCAAATTCTATGAACAACCTTTAAGTTATTGTTATAGTAGTTTGAAGAGTTTGGAACTGATTAAATTTCCAAGATCGAACCAAATAGTGCATTCTCTATCCTCTTCTTAATAAAACCGGGCCGGAATATGTTTTCGTATAGTGTTGTCAGCAGTCTCTGACTATGACCAATATAACTTACTCTACAAAAACAGAAGAACTGGTAGATAAATATGAAGGTGGTTTGTCAAACGATATTGTCTTTTACACAAATGGAGAATCAGTTAAGGTGGAAGATCTGAAGGTACCTACACAGACAGCAGTCATGATAGTCCCTTCCCAGAAATCTGTAGCTCCTCAATCCCTCTACAAATTACAACTTACTAACCCACAAAACATCCACTTCACCGAGGCTGAAAGCAAGAAAGCAGAGGGGATTTCCTCTTCCATTGCAGGAATGAACCAAACAACTCGAACCAAGGCCTAAGAACTAGACGCTCTCACTATCAATATTGGATATTGGAATAAAGTTCTGCTGAGAAAAAAGTCCAACTAGTTGATCTCAAAAGACAGTTATTTCAGGATATATGATACTATATCCCCTTTAAATTCCAGATTCATAAACAAAGACTTTTCAGAAAGTCAGCTGATGATTTCACTGATTTTGAATATCTTTCTCCCATATTCTTATCAATAAATCCACTAGGATAACCGTTTACCGCACGTGTACCTCTTTCAGTTGAACAGGATACAGGAAAGTATGGTGAGATTTCTCATGACTGACTATGGATTTTGTAAACAGCTGATATGATTATAAGATTATCTGCATGTGGATTATCAATAAAAGTTCCAGACAGTAATCCACAGAGTTTCATTTTGTCTTAACGCTCATCAGCGGTGGCTGTTTGGCAGTAGAGAAGTGAATGTAGAAGTAATTGAAATCACAACATGCTAAGATAATCTCAGCCACTTCATCAGTTCACACTGACTATCATTGGATGTCTATATCACCTCATTATGACCTTGACAGGTCTAACCTCTACATGATAACTACACATTGATGAGGCTTTTCATAAATATGATTAATTAATAACCAACTTTACTCAAATTTTCCATCGGTATTTATTTGTAATGTAAACCGCCTTCAAATATACAGGAAAATTAGCATCTGTTACATAACAATCAATCTTTAACCATCACTAATGTTTGATTTTTTGCTTGTTTGACCACCTGATTACTTTATGGTAGCAGTGACGCACGTGGCAACATAAGATTGCTCAAAGAATTCATGAATGCCAACTAGCCAGCAGTAAAGTTACAAGATATCCCCCCCCTTAATTTCAGTGTGTGTAGATGGTCAAGATCACAAGTTTGAGTTGGAGAATATGGAAATTGTACAAAGGTGAGTTTCAGAAGCTGAAGGTAAGTGTCTGAGGGACTTTAAAAGCCACCCAAGCAACTAGTGAATATACCAATTATGCTTCGGTATTTCACCTGAGAAATACTTTTCTATAAAACAGAGGAATGTAACTGACTGTTTCATCAGTTGCTAAGGAGGCCTTTAAAGTCTCCCAATAGAGGTTGTGCATTGCTGCAAACTGACAGAAGTAGGAAATATGGACCATTGGATCCTGACCTAGTGGCTCACTGTCAACATGCTGGTAGTGGAACCATAAGGTTCTGGGTTCGACCTCTAGGGGGCGGGATCACGGGTATGCGCTGCTGATGAGTCTAATTTTGGGACGAAACCGCTATCCACTGCTACAAGGTTTCTAATGTTTCTCCAGCTGATGCCATTCCATGATGAGTATCAATCTGAAAAGTCATTCAACAGACGTGTGAATATAGATCCAACCTAAAAGCTGTATGAGGAGAAAACAGCCATCAGTCAAGCAAGTAATTAATCGAGCACAGTGTCGTTGACAAAAATGGCATACAGCCACTCTAACAAAGACTCTCCCTCAGCGTGACCGAATGAAATGTAAGCTAAAAGAGGTCAAAGGATGAGAAAAATCTCTTTTCCAGCTTACACTTGAATAATACTCAAGGTCGATAAAAGCCATAAACATCAGAGGATAAGTCTGCGTATGGTGCACACTCTCGTTGGACATGGAGTAAGTGGAACTACATAAAGTGGTTCGAAAATCGCCCCACTCATCACGGACCCTCTGAATCATGCACCTGGAATAATTAGTGATTGGCGGTAATCTAGTGAGTACTTACATCCAGTTTGTGGTCCTTGATTGTCATCGACGTCTTGACAGATGTAAATTTCCTTCGAATTACCGAGAAATCCTTAATAATTAAAATTTATTTAAAATATGCTTCCAATGGTTATATCAGTAATATTGATTTTAGAATAAGACTATCCAGTTCTGATACTTGTCCATGCCCATCAACAGGAATTTCTTACCTTTCGGTAATATCGAAACTACATCAATCAGAATGAAGACAACGAATTCATCCTTGAGTTATTCAAGTCATGACTAACCTCTTGAAAAACTCAGTCATTAATACAGTTTGGTCATTTAAGGCTCTATCGTCAACCGATGGCTAAATTTTTAAGCATAACCACTAACTCAACTGGTTTCAAAACATGGAGTAACATAGTAACCTGGTTATATAATGTTGTCAGGTCTCTCCTACCTGCACCCTGTTCTGCTTCACTCACCGATGTGTCATAGAAGTGTCTTTTGTCTTTCCATGCACTCTTCTTCACTTCACTGATCATTGTAGTCTTTTATAGGTTGTGTTCAGTTCCTCTTTTCGTTGCTCATCCTTGCACTGTACTGCACTGGTTCATCTTCTGCTTCACCATCTTCCTCTCCCTCCTCTATCAGCTTCCATGTGTCCGTCAAGATCCATTCCTTGTCTTCTTTCTTCTTCCTTCCTAACATGGTTATACAGGTTTCCTTCCACGTCTCTTTGAAACAGTTCCAGTGTTCTTCCATGCCTAATCCTTCAGGAATGTTGCTCAATGTCTTCCATTTTGTTCTGATGGTGACGTGAACTGAACTTCAACTGTGACCTATCACCAACTTCTGTGAAGACTTTAAACCTGATTTTGAAGGCAGGTTTCTTGCACTAGACAGTGAGTGGTGTGAACCTACATCTGCTCCCCTTCTTGATCTTGTGTTCAATAGGCTGCGTCTCCAGTTTCTTCACACTGAAATGAATTCAATCTGATCTTTAGTGTAGTATGTCCATCTGGTGAAATCCGTCGGTGCCTTGTGAATATCCTTGTGTTTGTACACACTGCCTTGAATCACGAAATGACTGGAGGTGCAGAAGTCTGGAAAGAGTTCTCCGTTCTCGTTTATTTCACCGAGTACTTCTTGACCCATGGTTAGTTCTCTTCCTGTGTTGTCTGCTCCCAGTTTGGCATTCATGTGACCTGTTAGAATGAATTCTGATGTCACCAACTGAAGTCTTTTCCATTTCTGATTACAGTTGTCTGTAGAATTCCTCCTTCTTCTCTTCATCTGTATTATTTGTAGGTGCATAGCGTAGCGTTGCATTAAGTGATTGTGACTTTCCTTCCTTTTGAGTTGAAACCATCTTGCTGTCATGATCCTGCAGGAGGCTATAGGTTCCCATTGCCTGAAAGTCTTTGATGCTCTTGATGGCATCATGATAGCCACTCGAAAACCCAGTGTGCTCGTCGTTGTCGTCTGGGTGACAATGTTAGAGTAGATTATTAACTCTCCAACTGACAGTTTGGAGAGTCAACTTCCATTCCATCTGCTGATTCCTCACAGATTCATACCACTTCTATGCCATACCTTCTCATCTCTTTGGCAATCTGGGCAGCCTTGTCAATTAGCTTCAAACATGGTGCGGACATTCCATGTCCCCATTCTTGCTTTCGCTTTCATCGAGAGAGGCGAAGACACATCGGCCTATTGGCTTCCCGAAGGCAGGCTTTCATCAACCGGCGTCATTTCGTCTCTCCGATTCCAACGAGGAATAAATTTGTTTATATTTTTATATTTTCTTTGTTGTTTGAAGATTTTTTAGCGATTGGATTGGTTTTCCGGTGTAGGGTTGCTAGCCTTATGCCCAACCTTACCTGTTTATCCGGGCTTAGGACCGACTAGTAACTAGTGAACTAGTTAACCAGGCAAGGTTGGTTTGAAAACATGGAGTACTATATTTCATGCCAAACGGTTGAAGGTCAGTTAACAATGAAGCCCTAAAGAATAAATGGTTTATTGAAAAAAGTCCCACTTATTACAATTTAAGGCTGCTGATGTATTTTGTTGATATATGCTACCAAACACATAATCTACATCCCAGCCTTCTATTCATTAACTTTTAAAGTCATAGTACAAAGCGCCGAATTATCGGTTACTTCAGCCTACTAAATTTACTTCAATCACCACCGAGTTATTCAGACCAAAATAAGTATAAGCCTGTGACAAGATTGTATACATAACTTAGTCTTAACCCCACAAGCTGAGAAGTAAAGTCTGTAGGTTGAGCACTAAGCAATGCAGATTCAAATCTCCGGAGGAAAACAAATTCCTTTGAGATTGTAGATACACCACGAAATCTGGACTGAAGGCTACGTAAGCTTTGGCATTAAAATACAATGCAGTATCATTTCATTTGGATGGACAGAAATAGATTATGTCAACATGGGACCTAGCATTCCTATGCAACGGTTCAAGTTACTATACCTTAACACATCAAGCAGGGAATGCATTGAGATGAAGAATAAAGAAATGAGAAAGAAAACAGTCAGAAGTGGTCGAAAGTTGAAAGAAGAGAGGAAGGCAGAATGAGACAGTGTGCCTACATCTTCACTACTAAATAGCTACATTTAAAACTAGACTGATGACCTCTGATGAAGGTAGTTTAGCATAATGTCATTAATTACTTTTCCCTAACAGTCCAAGTGTAGTGAACTTCATCACCATCTACGAAAGTGAAGTTGTGGCTGATTGATTTAGGGAGATATTTTTCAACCAATAGGTTGTGAGTTCGAACACCAGTCCACCTATCAAGTTTTAAGTTGTCAAGGTGTACCACTAACACTTACATAATAGGTGTGACTCCCTGCCTGCTGCATGGATGTGTGAAAGATTTCTGGATGGGTTTCATTCTCGATTTGATACGTTTCAAAATGAAATCCAAGATAATAGTGCTGGATAATAGCTAGCAGTTGGAGCCAGGATGTGCATTTCGTCCTACCTCGGACTAGTTAGCTGGATGTACCTTCCTCCCAGTGAGTGATATTGCTCTAACCGGGGTTGGGATTCAGGACCGATCGCTTCAAACGCCAGAACGTTATCCACTAGACCACCGAACCACGATAGCTACTTCTTGTGTGATGGATATAGTTTTCGTGTTATTGCTTGTACTGGAGCTCAGGAGACAACATGCCTATAAAGACCAATCAATTCGGTTCAGTCAACGACGGTATAATACAAGCAACTACACTAAAAGTCTTGATAGACTAAACTCTTTGTTGTATAGTAGGCATTTAGTTTAAAGTCTTACCTGTACAGGAAATACTGGGAAAGTGTTAGCTTCATGAAATGCAATAAAATAACCATCTTTTAAATAAGCTGTTTTATCTGTATCTGAAGATTGAATTATCGATGGTTCTTCTTCGACTACCATCAATAAAGGATAAACATTTACCAAACCACGATAAAGAATTAAACGTATACCATTTGTAGGTCCTGCTGGTACAGGTGGAGTTGGACGTACACGTAATGTGAAACATCGATAATATATTGGATGTTCAGTTATAATAAAATTTTCTAAACATTCTTGTTTATTAACCTGAAATAAGGGGTAAGTAAGCAAATGATAATGGCTATGAACTCATCTCCTCTTGATTATGCTTTCTAAAAAAGGTTAAGTTGATTTAGTGGATATGAAAGAAGAACACTTCAATGAACTTTAAATATAACTTATAGTTTGTCAAGATTGTTTGGAAAGTCATGTCAAGAGGGAGAAGACGAACCATTCAATGGTACAGGATAATGGTTAGGCTATCTTGCGTGGATTTAAAGAACGGAATAATATATGTAACATTGGATTCCCAACTGGTGACTGAATAGTAACACCTCCATACGTGAAGTTGGGTTGGAAACCTTGGATCATCTATTAGGAGCCGACGACCTGAACGAATAAGCTACAACTCTGCAAAGCATGACACCAATGGATCCTATTCCTCACAGGATGAACCCATGGAACCTATGAAATCTCTAAAATGAAAGTAGTTTATAGGCAGTCAAAAAGAATCACTGAACCTTGGTTTCCTACTTGTTACAGCTCATCAGAAGGGTGTATCTTAAGCCTTGAAGAGACTGATATCCCCTCAGATATATTAACTCATATCACCCTATACTGCATTCAGAGATGCTACCATTCAGCTATTCAGACTGTACTGACCTCGCTTATGGTTGGACAATTACCACTGAATAACCAATATGTGCTGATAGAATTCAATCAATCAAAGGGTATCATGATTGTGAGTTTGCTAGTTTCATAATCATATTGCAAAATAATCGATAGAATTTGACGAATACTTGGGTTTACATAACATGTAACTGGGTCCTTTCTAGAAATCAATCAATAAAACCACTCTGTGAACTGTACAATGTTCAATAACTTTTCTATTTATCTATCCTTTATTTATATGGATATTTTACTGTAGATATCTTTTCTTCAAATGATAACCTAGTGGAAAATTTAACATAACATATTAATCATTCCTATGAACTATTACCTTCGAAATTCTTTCTTACTTTAAACAACTCAATGGTAGTGTCTTCATCTGTTTTACTGAGTAAAAAAATTACTGGTGCACTAATCAAAATGTAGAAAATATGAATATTGTATTATTTTAAAAATCGTTTTACCGATGACAGATTTGGTAATAGTATAACTTGGTACAAGAGCTTCTGATCGACCCTTTACCCTTTTCTGTATGACGTATATTCTGGAAATGCAACACAGGCATTCATTGATCCGAAACCACTATGGAGATCTTCTGCACTTAACATGTGGAACAAGATCCAGATTTTCAACAATTATATCACTCAAGTCAGTGCTTCTATATAGTTCAGAGACTTGGAGCATGACGAAAGGGATTTCCAACAAATTACAGATATTCATCAACAACTGTTGACTACGCTGGCTCGTTACTGAAGATCAGTTGGCCAGAATAATAAGAATAAACAACAAGGAACTCTAGCTGGCTGGCTGGTGAGGAACCAACGAAGAACCTGTCGTTGAACAAATATGCAGTGGAAGGAAGTGGAGATGGATTGGCCATGCACTGAGAAGACCATTCAAAGACACTACGAGCCAGGCAGTCGAGTGGAACCCAGATGGTAAACGGTGAGTTGCGCGTCCCAGTTGAGGGTGACATAGAGGAGATTATGCAAGGAGGAAATTAAAGCTTGTGAGCTGTCATGGAGCCAGGTTCAAAAGATTTCAGAGAATAGAGTGGAATGGCTATGTGCTACTGAATCCCTATGTTCCACTAGGAACCCAAGGGACAAACAATAATATATTCAGGAGTGGCCTGAAAGATATACGGACAATAAGCGCCAGATATTGTTGTCTGTTATTCTGGTATAAGCACTCAAAAAGACTCATTGGTTAATCTACAATAATCTCAGTGAAAATTATAAAGATTTTTGAAACAGTTAGTCATTTGGATGGTGTATTTACGTTTAATAGTTTCAGCAATCTCATTATATGTTTACTCGTCAATTCTGTTTAAACAAAAGGGAAAAACGGGAGGAGAAATGAAACAATTATTATAATAGAAGATTAAAATTAGGAAAGATAATAAAGAGAGAATGATATATTCAGTCATTATCTTGATAATGATACAAGGTCTACCAGGTTAGGTATAATGTGAGAACAAACTGTTTTCGTACACTCAAAACTGACGGTTATCACTGCTACAGCTTTCAAAATCCTCCCCTGATTGTTTCGATATTATGTATTGAAAGCTGTGACACATTTCCGAAATGTTTCGCAATAGATAAGGAGGGTTGCATGCCAAAATGGCTCACCAAAGTTTCACACTACAGTTATTTGTCAAACCATTTAGTGACATTTTCTCTTACAGCGTCATCCTCTTTCTTAAATTTCCGCAGTACTGAATTCAACTAGTTGATCTTCAGTGAAATAAATCTTTCACTGCTTGATTTCATGCTCACTAACTTCTTGACTGATCATCCCTTTAACCAATTGAGAATTATCATCACAACTTTTCATCATTACTTATCCCTTGGGTTCCTAATGGAACGTACGGCTTCAGTAGCACGTCGCCATTTCACTGTCTTCTCTCCAGTCTTTTCAACCTTTCGCCACGACTGCCTACAAGTTCTCATTTCTTCCTCACACCATCTCCTCCATGTCATCGTCAGCTGAGACGCCCAACTCGTCGCTTCCTAACTGGATTTCACTTGAGTGCCTGGCCTGGCGCGTGATGTCTCAAATCGGCCTTCTCAGTATATGTCCAATCCAGTCCATCTCCACTTTATACTACTGCATATTTGTTGGGTGATAGGTTCTTCATTGGTTCGTTGCCAGGTCGGAGTTCCTTGTTGCTTATTCTTATTATTCTGGCCATCTGATCTTCAGTAACGTGCCAGTGTTGGCAGCTGTTGATGAGTGTCTGTAGTTTGTTGGAAATGCTTTTCGTGACGCGTCAAGTTTCTGAACCGTATAGCAGCATGAACTTAAGTGATGTGAGTGTTGAAAATTCGATCTTTTTCTTTGTGCTGAGCGCAGCAGATCTCTACACTGGTTTCAGAATAATGAAAGCCTGTCTTGCTGTCTTTCCGATCCTGGTTTTCACATCCTCGTCTATGCCTGTGCCGCCTGTAGTTGAAACGATGCTGCCTAGGAAGGTAAAGACACTACCTCATTTAGGTTTCTCCCGTTAATGGTGATTGGTGTTTGTTGTTGTTGATGATGTTGTTGGTTGGGTATCTTCATCACCTTTGCCTTCTCTACATTCACTTGAAGCCCTGTCTTCGCTGTCTCTCCTCTTCTGTCAACTTGTTAGTTTTCGCCTGCAGATCTTCGAGTTTGTAAGACTAGATATTAGACATGAATCACCATTGGCGAAACCCAAATCTTCTAGAGTCTTTTCATCGGTCATGCGCATTCCCCTCTTTTCGCTCCACACGATTTACTGCATAAGCCAGTCTAGTCCAGTCAACCACAATCAAGAAGATGATCGGTGATAGTATGCGGCAATCTCGTCTTACTCCTGTCCCCTATCTTTACTTCAAATGCATCACTGAGCTTTCCATTCTCAATCACTTGACATGTGGCGTCTTCATATAGCTGTTGAATGAGGTAGATAAAGATTTGTGGCCCTCCGTAGTGTTGAAGCAACTGCCTGGCAAATTACTTTTAGGTCGACGCTGTCGAAGGCCTTTTCAAAGTCGATAAAGTTGAGGTAGATGGTTGACTGCCATTCTATACTCTGTTCTATGAAGATTCATAGCGTAGCGTTGCAATTTGATCCGCACATGATTTGTTCTTCCTGAAGCCAGCCTGTGCCGGTATTCTTGTATTTAACGGGCAATAATGTAAGTTCATGTAACAGACATTTGTCCCTATAATGAAAAATCATTTTAGGGTAGGTTAAAATATTAACCCATGTTCATACTGAACTACACTTACAAATTGTTTGCCTATTTATATGTCGTCCTGAAGCTCTCAGTTAGTTATTTGCAGTGCCTGTTCTCATAATAGACTACACTAATGTTAACCATTCTCTATCTCTAAGGTAACAAAGTGGGCTAAGCCAAACCTTTTCAATACATTACAACTCCTCACATATCGTCCGGGAATACCACCAGCAGCCAAGTCATAGAACTATCAGCGAACGAAAGCAGTAGTCCTGAACATCATAAAGTTATTAAAATCCGAGAAAGCAGCAGGAACGGATGGAATCCCACCAGAAGCACTGGAAACACACCCAGAGACATCAGCAGACATGTTCACACCACTATTGAAGAAGGTTTGGAATAAAGGAAGGAAAAGTACCTGCCGAGTGGAAGAATGACCAACTTGTCAAACTCCCAAAGAATGGAGACCTAAGTCTTTGCAAGAAATGGCGCGGAATCATGCTTCTGTCCATTCAAAGCAACCAAAATATTAAACCGCACCATCGTAGAGAGACTAAAGGATGCGTTGGATTCAAAATTACGACCGGAGCAGGCTGGCTTCAGGAAGAACAAATCCTGTGCAGATCAAATTGCAATGCTACGCTATGCATCCTCATAGAACAGAGCAAAGAATAGCAGTCAACTCAAATCAACCTCAATTTCATCGAATTTGGAAAGGCCTTCGACAGTTTGGACCGAGAAGTAATTTAACAGCTGCTTCAAAACTACGGTTTTAGTACCACATATCTATATCAACCTCATTCAACAGCTATGTTCTATATGATGCTACATGCCAAGTGATTCACAATGGAAAGTTCAGTGATGCATTTGAAGTAAAGATGGAGGACAGGAGTAAGACAAGATTGCCGCATACTATCACCGATCATCTCCCTAACTGTGGTCAACTGGATTGGACTTGACTGGATCACGCAACAAAAAGCTGTGATGAGCGACAGGAGAGGCATACCCTGTTTGAGCGACGAAAAGACCCCAGAAGAATATTTGGATTTCACCAATGATGATTTATACCTGTCTCATTTCGCACAAACTCGAAGATCTACAGGCGAAAACCAACAAGTTGGCGGAAGAAGCAGAGCAGCAAAGACGGGACTTCCTTCAGGTGAACGTAGAGGA